ACCACAAATCTCCCACGGATCTAGCTTATTAATGCAGGGGACATAAGCGACAAGGAGTCCTGTGGCACCTTATAGACTAACAGATGTATTGGAGCATAAGCTTTTGTGGGCAAAGACCCACTTCGTCAGACACATGTAATGGAAATTTCCATAAATGAAGCAGCTGTTTCAATGGGCCATAAAGAGCCCATGACTTTGCATAGATTATATTGCATTCAAACAAGACATTACAGTAAACTTTTGACGTACAAAAGTTAATTCTGTGCCTCTACGGGATGAGCTCAAAGATCCAGTGAGTCCTACTGCATTAGTATTGATTACGCTAGCAGCAAACACAGCCTCTGAAATGAGCGGACTTAGTGGGGATGCAACCCGGAGGAAGAACACAGGTGTTGCAAGGAGGAGGGGGGGAAATTGCTCTCCTTGGCCTCCGAGGACAGGAGAAGGAGGAACGGGCTGAAATTGTAACAAGGGAGGTTTAGGTTGGACATTAGGAAAAACTTCCTGCCTGTCAGGGTGGTGAAGCACGGAATAAATTGCCTAGGGAGGTTGGGGAATCACCATAATTGGAAATATTTAAGAGCAGGTTGGATAGACATCAGGAATGAACTAGATGGTGCTTATTCCTGCCGTGAAGGCAGGGGACTGGACTTGATGGCCTCTTGAGGTCACTTCCTGTTCTAAGGTTTTAGGATACTATGTATTAGGAGTAATGGGATGAAATGAAGTACAGGAAAATGTAAACTATCAGGACAGACATCTGGATAGTATGTTTGCCGGCCAGCCGAGAGTTGCGAGCCCTGTTGCTTGGGTCATTAAACACTAACTAGGAAGGAAAACCTGTCCAGGCCTATGGTAGCAGGGCAACGCTCATGGACCCTCAACAGTCCAGGAAACCATTTCCTGCTGCATCAGTAGACCAACATTGAGGGGCCAGCCCCAGTGGGCTGGGAATGTGCTTCCGGCAGACAGCTTTTAGCTTAGCTCTAGCTAATACGATAAGTTGAGGGGCCAACCCACTGGGCTGGGAATGTGCTTCCGGCAGACAGCTTTTAGCTTAGCTCTAGCTAATACGATAAAATTAGCAGGTGGCTTGGGGCCAGGCAGACCTGTAGTCGGGTGCTAGGCTCAGCCGGGGCCTTTGCCACTGCAGTCACTGGGCTGTCTCCCCTTCCTGGGGACACGTGCTCTCAGCTGCTGCCGACATACCCCTAGAGCACTGAAATGGGGCTGTTCGGAGGAACTGGTCTCTCTCTGGTCCACAGAATGACTTAGTAAGGGAGCTACCGCAATGAGGAAGACTCCCGCCCAGGCAGAGAGGGAAACCAAGGGGGACCTAAGAGGATCTCCTGTCTTGTCTAACTTCTAGGGTTCTCCGATTAACGCCATCGCTAGTCACGTTTTGCAAGGCCTTCTCTTTCAACAGAAAAAAATTGAGCTTCAAATATGCAAGCGCATGTGTGGACCAAAGACATGTCAGAGGGTTTGCCAAAAGCAAAACCACTCTCTTAACTTCCCCTTCAGGGAAATATTCAGTTTAACTGACTTAATCTCTCGTATGGTTTGCACATTGCCGTGTGGATTTCATCAAAGCATGAAGCAAACTGCTTTTGGCATCTTTTAGCAAGTATTTCTACACCCGGCTGCACATTCAGTGGGACGGGCAGTCCCTGTCCAGGTGTGGCCCAGGACGAAATCACAGCACTTGGGGCGAGACTCACGTGATTGCCTGCTTTCAGCCTGCCTCTAATTTACACAACTAGCCCTTCCCAGAGAATAGGAACAAAATGTGCTTGACAACACGGGAGAATCTGTGCTTGCTGTCAAGCTGTCATGGCCCATTCTGGGGCCATGCTTTCGTGCTGCTGGCTGCTCACGTTTACTTCCCAGCACGAAACTGACAACAGGAACCAAGAGCAGACAGCAAGGACGGCAGAGACGGCATTGTGGTACAAAAGGTGTCCGTGGGCAGAGGGGGCTGAGCACACAAATCTGTCATTTCATCAGACTTTTTTACAATCAAGATTCTAATTAAAATATGAACTGGAAATCCACATGCAAGAAATAAATGCATCTCACCAAATAACCTTCCAATTAATGTTGCCACGCCTATGAATAACCAATGAATTATGTTTGAAAAAAATCCCGCTTTGCCCTTTTTATTTCATGCTACTCATAAAACAAGGGAGGCCATCCAGGATTATCATAGAATCCCAGGGTTGGAAGAGACCTCAGGAGTCATCAATTCCAGCCTCCTGCCCAAAGCAGGACCAACCCCAACTCAATCATCCCAGCCATGGCTTGGTCAAGCCGGGACTTAAACACCTCTAGGGATGGAGATTCCACCCCCTCCCTAGGGAACCCAGCCCAGTGCTTCCCCACCCGCCTAGGGAAATAGTTTTTCTTAATATCCAGCCTAGACCTTCCCCATTGCAACTTGAGCCCATTGCTCCTTGTTCTGCCATCCGTCACTACTGAGAACAGCCTCTCTCCATTTTATAGGTAATGTGGGGAATTAAGGAATATGGCAGGGGAACCTTGTCTGGGATGATTGAGTTGGGGTTAGTCCTGCTTTGGGCAGGGGATTGGACTCGATGACTCCTGAGGTCTCGTTCAATCCTATGATTCTATGAGGGGTAGGGAAGTGTATATTTGAGGGAAATATCCTTTGATTGTCATCAACGTAAACTCTCAACCACAACTGGCTTTGGGTCACTGTAAAAGACGCTTCTAAAACATTTGCTATTTGACCAAGCAAAGCAGTTGTTACAAACTCGAAGACAGAGGTTGTCTACGTCTTAGCCTACTGAAGAGGACACTTTCAAATTTTGCTCTGTCCAGTTCCTACTGTGTCACATGACAGAACAGTGACAGAGCAAAAGTGTCTGTGGAACACCCCAAATTCATTTACAGAGACAGAGTTGGGGGGTATTTATAACTGCCTCTGGTGAGAAAGTCAGCAGGGCTCCACTTATGTGAACAAAATTCTTCCCAGGACCAGAGCTTTACATGAGAAAAATCTGTGCAGACAAGGAACTTACATGTATGTAACATCCTGCATGAACAAATGGCATCTGTATGTCCCAAAGGTTTTAGAATGACACAGAATGGTCAAATATTGTCTGCTCCCTGAGCAATACCCAACTGGCATCAAGCGGCATCACTCAAAGACATCCTGGTGTTGCTTGTCTAACCTGCAGATTCCACTAGACAGCCTAGGTGGATCAGGTCTTGTCTTTACCACAGCACAGATTACATCTTTGGCAAGTCATCAAAAATGAAGGCCAGTCAATGGAAGAGGAAGACGAGAATCCACTTAACAGGAAACGTACAAACACAATTAGAGCAAACTTGTGTAGCGGAGACTATTGGACAGAGGAGAGGAAATACAAGAGATGAAGCAACAAATGGACCACCACCTAGCTGTATCCTGGCTCATGTTGAATTCACTTGGGTGCATACTGCCATTACAAACCATATTAACATTAAACAGGCCTACCAGTTAAACACACTGCTTCATAGTAATTAATCGTCCTAGGAGCATGTTTACAGCTCTTCATTCTTTAGAAAAAACACAGCTTTCCTCTTCAAAATCCTTGCGTTCATCTCTACATCGTTGGAAAGTAACCAATCCCTCTATATTGCCGAAAACACAAAAGTCATGTGTGCTTTACTGGCACCGCCGCATGTGGTGGCAAAAACACCGATAGAGCCAAAGCATTCAATATGGGGACGACGACTCATTTCTTTCCTGGGAGACTGCAAACTGGCCTGACTTTTAACCAAATGGCCAAGTTTCATATGGGGACGTGTTCACAAACCACGCAGCACTGAATTCCCAATTGTAAGAGGGTGCGTGGAGACTCACTGTCACCACCAGCCAACTTTCAGGTTGCTTTGCGCCCCATGTCAGTGGACGACAGATCACACTGCACATCCATTGGCTTCGGAGAGGGCTCGCAATCCATGAGGGGTTAAAAACTGTTCTGGCATGAATCAGTGGCACAGTGGTGAGGGGTTCATCGATACAGGGATTATGCAGATTAAAGGAATACCCCGGGCATCTGAAAGTTTTCAGAATGCAAACTACGTCAGCCCTGAAAACAAGAGGCACTGCATCATTATGGCAGACACACAAAGCAGAGGGGTTAATGGACAAAAAAAGATTGTTTTAATAGGAGAGAAACATCCGTCATTGAGTCTTACTTCATTCAGACTTTCTATCCAACCCCATCCATCTTCGGTGCCAAGAGATGACAGGACCCTGCTCCCTCGTTCCCCCTGCCTGGTGTATCAATAATGCCCATTTCTCTCCTAACAAATGACTCGCAAGAATGGCCCTTTTCCTGAAACGGGCTTGCCAAGTTCTAGGGATGCCTTAGTACCTGCCACGGTCAATATGGCTATAATGGGATCCCTTGGGAGGTAGGCCTCAATGGGCGGAGCCTTTTGTACCCATCTTCAGAAACGGCCACTTTGTCATTCATAGCTGGGGAATGGCTGCGAAAGAGGGAGCAGAGGGGAAAAGAGAGAGAGACACACACTCTCCACACAACCCAGAATGCAAATTCCTTCGCCCTCCCAAAATGCTTCTCTGGGCATTATCTGCGAACAAAAGTGCTCTACGCAGGCGGTCTCTGCATCACTGCTCTCTCTGTTAGCAACACCTGCTTAGTGTTATGGGGGAGAGTTTCTGAGCTATCCTTTTTGCCGGGTCTGCAGAAGCCAACCCGAGCACAAACTGGCCCATTGCTTGGGGTCACTTATGTCTTTCTCCCTTTCCCCCACACCGCCAACTCTTTCACCTCGGCCACTCCTAGGACCCTGGAGAGCTAAATAAGTTGGCGGTCTTGAGTCCGGGGGGGAGGAAGGGAGAGAATATAGGTCTCTGGCCTGAATCACCAATGCCGCTTCCCCTCCCCTCCCTCTTCCTTAAGACCTGATGGTCTTCAGTCACACATCTTAAAAGAAAAACAAAACACAAAAACACAAAGACTTACTTGTCTCAAGTCGATGAAGGCCAACTGCAGTGTGTCCCCTTGGAACCCAGGCACTGGCCCGGATCTGGCAAACTCTGTGGGAAAGAAAAGAGGATAAAAAGCGCCTTTAACTAACCATGGACAGGCAGATTGGCAGACGGATGACAGGGAAGACAAGAGAGACTGGGGGAGAGGAGGACTGAACTTCTAAGGAGTCATGTCTCCCTCCCTTCAGCTTCTTTGTTTGCCCTTCAAAATTTGTGTCATCAAAACACCATTAATTCCACCGTCCTGACAGCAAGGAAACTGTACTAATTCGACCTGAAATTTATTCCCATGAGCCGCACTGGGCTTCAGAGTATTTGTTTTGTGAATGGACAAACAACTTGCAAAGAAGAAAGGGGAGGTGGGGGTGGAAAAGTTTTTCCTCTCGACACAATAAAATCTTCAGCTGTGAAACTCCTTTCAGTTCCGAAAGCTATTTATATTTTAGGGCACAGGAGGTATTTTCTAATTTCACGCCTGTCACTGGGTTCCATAAGCATTCATCAAAAAAATATGCCCAGCAGCACCATTAATTATTCTGCAGCAGATTATCTGCATTATCTGGTATGAACCATTATTGCCTGTATATAAGCACCCAAAACGGGAAGAACTTTCCCCACCGCGTGGCCAATTTATTTTGGAAAGGAACTTTTGACACTGAATAATGCAGGCGTATAAAGCAAAGAATATGTCTAGAGTCATGTTTGCCCCGCTCTCTCGTCTAATCTGGTCTCAATTCTACACTCACGTGGTTTATTTTTCTTCTCATTTACTGGTTAAACTTAGTCCAAAATCAATACCGGGGACCACACGTTATGATTTTGGTCTTGGCGGCAGATTCATTTCACAGTTTTTGTTTGACAACGGTCACAAAAAGGCCCATAACCGCATTTCTCCTTGCTGAGCACTTGTGTTGAAGGAATGTTTCAGACCAGCTGATCTTACCGACTTTATTAAACCATTTGAATGGTTGACTCTTCAACTAAAACCAGGACCTCACTTAGATACAAAACAGGGCTGTGACTCCAATCTCACTGTATTCCCTCATGGATAAGGGTATGTGGGTTTGTGAAGTCACCAAAAATGTCATACACCAACTGCATGTCTGGCTAAAAGCAGAAGAGAGTTTTCACCTGGCAGAATTTGGTTGCTTTTATGGAATTCTAGTTTGTCAGAGCGGGACAGTTTGTGTGTAGGAGACACCATTTACTTTGTATCATGCCTGTATAGAAGAAGAAAAAATGCTCCCAACGCCACAGATTTAGCAGCTACTTTGGCACAGTTATTCATCACGTGAGGACTTTTTAGGGCAAGGAAGAAGCCCTCAGCCTAGCATGAAACCTCATGGCTCCATCTGCCACGGTGTAAAGGAGGATAAAAGCAAGGTGTTACTTCCCATCTTCATGCCCAGATTACGGTATGAGGAATAAGGCTTGGTTACCCACAAAGCCCTAAATGGTACCACTTCAATCCATACATTTCCTTGACTAGAAGCCTGCTTCAATTAGTTCTCTCACTTTGAAGCAATACCAAGAAGGAAAAATGCATTTAAGAGCCATGTTTTAAGGCCCAAATCCTGCAGCCCAGTCACTCAAGTGTTCCCGCTTTAATGAGACTAGACTTTGCTCCATTTCCAAAGTCTCATGCAATTTCATTTATCCCCCCCCTTCCCTCCACCACAACCTTTCCATTCAAGCGTTAGAGGGGGCACATTCTGCAGTTTGCAAGTTGGTACTTTAAAAAGCCAGTTTTCAAATCCCAATAGTTTGACATTTTCATATTTTAAAATACCAGCATAGTCTAAACTGGTATGATTACTAACCTCGCCATGAAGTGTTTCTAAATTGACTCTCTGTGGTACAGTTCAGGAACAGAAAATTGCAGTAAGTTGTTCATGGTCATAGAACTCAGACAGGCCGTCAAATTATTAAGTGTGTTTTCAAACGTCAAACTTCTATAATAAACATCTAATTTAAATGTCACTGTTCAGGATGACTGGCAAAGAAGGGTCTGTCTGTGATGGCCCCTTAATACGGATATGAAAGCCTGAATTGAGGCATGTATGTTTGGTAAGTTTTGATGCATATTTGTACATTGTGGAGATCCTAGAATTAAACTAGGCTGCTCACTTTCTAGTCAATTTCTTTTTTTGAGCATCTCCTCAAAATGCCAGGGCTGCAAACAGCCCGGCGAAAGGTTGAAATGTCAAGTGACAAACTATTTTTATTTAATTATAGTTCTAAATGCCATTAATCCACTCATATTAATTTTACTGTGTGTTATGTAGAAACTTATTTAACAGGCTGAATTTCTCCCGCATGCTCAGGAACAGTCCATTCCCCAAGAGGGATTTCAGCACTGCCGAAACCTGGTGCTGCTGGCTCTGTAAGAAATTAATTTCTGTTACCTGCCCATCCCCACAGCATCTGGGCACGTGCCTCTGGGTTACACATACAAAACCTTTAACTTTTAGCATATACTATTTGAATACCACACACATTTTAAATAGAGGAAAAAGCCTTCGAGCTACCCATGTGTGCACAAAAAATATCAGCACTGAAATGGGAGTATTAAAGGGCTGGTCTATAGTTTTAACTCACTGGGGCACCGAGTTGTAACAAACGAGCGTTTTAAGAGTAGCAGGAGTATATTTTTACTTCTGTGGATGTGGACTTGAATTTCAAATATTCGTGACCATCTGTTTGCAAGAGAACTGCGCACGACGTTCTTGAAAGTTTCCAGGTAAGTAATACAATCACAAATCTTATGATCTGTTTGAGAGGGGGAAATTGTTCTCCTTAAGCTCTGAGAATAGGACAAGCAGCAATGGGCTTAAATTGCAGCCAGGGAGGTTTAGGTTGGACATTAGGAAAAACCTCCAACCTGTCAGGGTGGGTAAACACGGGAATAAATTGCCCAGGGAGGTTATGGAATCTCCATCACTGGAGATATTCAAGAGCAGGTTAGATAGACATGTGGGATTTTATAGACCGTGCTTGGTCCTGCTGTGAAAGCAGGGGACTGGACTTGATGAACTCTCAAGGTACCTTCTAGTTCTACTATTCTATGATTCTAGAGACAATTCAAGACAAAATCCATCCCATTTATTATATGGGTCTAATTATTAGCTCTGTTCTAGTTCTAGCATGCTGAGGAACCATATTACTACCCTGTTTTTAGTGGGGTGTAACACGCTTCAACAAACAGCTGTAATCCAGCATCGGCCATTCTGTCCAAGGAGAGTAAATGATGTTACAGCACTGATGTATTAACATACAGTGTCTGTCTGGGTCAAACCCATCAGAAAACTGGTGGAGGTATGCACTGCACTAGTAGTACAGCTAGACACCCCAGCCGTGAAACAGTCTATGAAATCGTTCTTCTGTTACTTGTATTGCAGTACAAATGACATCACGGATATGGCTTATAGTGTAAACTGACAACAAGGGATTGGAACAGGAACACATGGGGTGTTCCACCACATTACAAAATATTGCAGCACCCTCTGTACTCACAGGTCACATTTTACATACCAAAGCCACAAATGTATCTGAGGAAAAGAAATGTACAAGGCACTTTTTAAAAAGGAACCACACTTTAAAGGAGAGACACAGCCAGTTCTTGGTTTTCATCTCCTCAATTGGGTAGCCTACAGGCTATGGCCACTCAGGGCAGGTTACAGGGGGACTCCGGCCTCTTTTCCAAAATGTTTCCCCAATGAAAGAATCCAGTGTTAAGCCCTTTGCAATGAACAAAGGATAGAGTTCAAACAAACAAGGAAAAAAAGGCAACCACTGTAACTTTAGTATAAAGAATTTAGGAATCCTTTCGTGTACTGTACACAGCCACACAGGCAAGTTTGTAAGCGTAGAGATTCTAATACATTTTGCGTTGTTGGTGTAAATACAGCTGGCTTCTTTATTCCCCAAATTAATTAATTTAGGGACAAGATTTTCTGCATCACATGTGCTCTGTTTACAGAATACAGGATGGTGTGGACAGGTGGTATAAAGATTATTAGCACTTACTGACTGTAACCCGCATAATTTGCACATGGTTTGGCTACTTGCAAATAATGCAATTATCCCAAAGTTGTGCCAATTACTATGCCTAACTACTACGTTCCCTCTTTTTTTTAAACACACACACACACACACACACACACACACACACACACACACAGGAGGCCTCTTGTCACTGTAGTATCTGAATTTTATAGCTACACGCTCTATATATTTTTATACAGAAAAAGCTTCTATTTGAAATTACATCACACATGTATTATGTATTTTACACACACACACACACACACACACACACACACCCTTGCAAAATCTTATCTTCCCACTTGCCATCTCTTTGTAATATTTTTGCCACTGGGGGCAAAATTATCAACATGATAATTATAGAAGCACATTTTCTGCATGGGCTAGTAAATACTCAGAAGAGTTTTGCGAACACTGTATTACTCGTGTATGCACACACACTGCAGGTGGACTTGCAGCAGACATTTGGAAACAAAAAGGGAGACTTGGAATTTAACAACTGAGAAGTTATTCTCGGCAAAAGGGTGGCAAAGAAAGATTTGAATTCTTGCTGCCTGAGTCCTCCCACAAACCTGTTATGGAGTAATGAAGTTTCACATAGAGAAGAATTAATTCTAGATGTGATGAATCTGGACCCAGTAATAGGAGAAGGGGAAGAATGGTTTTTAAATCCATTTGATATTACGAAAGTCTCTGAGCAGTAAGGAAGCAGGAAGGGCAGGAGAAAGATTTGGTGGAGAGGAGCTGGAAGAAACCAATTAGGGAAATCTTGGGTGGCAGGAGAAAAGCAAGATTCTCCTGTCTGGGGAAAGATCAGGAAAGGAGGGCTGGTTTGGTAGCTGTTAGCAATATATGAAAGGGAACTACGATATCAGCACATCTGGAAATGAGAGAAGAGCAAAAACGAAACACGGTCTCCAGGGGTGGGAGTGTGTGATTGTGATGGAGCATAGCTGCAAGGCAGAACCTGAGATGCAGAAAAGGGCACACGGGAGCGAAGGGCA